ATTTGGCCTGATAGTCACTCGGAAGAATCCGGCCTTGAAGTTTTTGTATGAAGAAGTGAAACTATCCAATAGTAGTCGATCGCTCACTCGGCTTAAGGAGTGCCACTTCGCCAATATAGAAGGTCGGGACGAGTAGAAATATAAAAAGAGGAGTGGAGAGGGCTTAATGTGAAGACACTTACACAGGTGTTTGAAACCTTGCAACTGTGCCCAGCTATTCGAGTGCAGTTGGGTAGGAGCAACATTCAACACCCTCAACACCCCCATAGTAAACTCGTCAAACGGCAGCTTTACCTTGAGATCCCGAAGGAGGCAATCGTACATGTAGAACAACTCCATCTTCGCACCACTTTGATCAAGACAGACCATGTCGGGATTAGGAAAAGCATTGTTTCAGCATGACCGAACTCCAACCGGATAAGGATTCTCAGTAGCGTCAAAGTTCAGGCAGTTGGTGTAGTCCAGTAGGTTAGTGATCATATCCGTATCTCGGTATCGAGAATAGTAGGAGGTTACCTCCCCATTCACCCACTCGTATCCAGGCACCTCGGATGGACCGTATCGTTGACGATTCGATACACGCTTTGTCTTTTCCTGAACCTCTTCACTCCCACTAGTAGAAGTCTCTTCTGGAGAAGAAACACCATCATCTGGCCTTTTGGCATCAACAGGGGACCGAACCATGCTGGGACGACTTGAGTCACTGGACGAGGACCCCTCGGACGACGACGACCGAGAGCCGCTGGCCGAAGAGCTTAAAGAAGTATTAACCATAGCGATAAAAACTTACCAGTTTCTTCGCAGAACCACAATCGTTAGTCAGATCGGCTTCTAAGCCCTTCGGCTACCACAATTCGGTTGAGAGCAGTACGTGCGAAGGGCCCTACCACTCAACTTATTTATAAGCTCAAAAAGAGGCGGGAAAATTCAAGTTTTGAAAAAATATAACCGTTTGATCCCCGAGATCCAACGGTTACAAGTGCGCACCCGTTCACCTTACCCTAGCAACCGTCACCATTTTACCCTTAAAGAAAGCTTCGTCTTCCTTTAAGGCTGGGGGCAGTGTACTGGTAGGGGCAGGTAGGGGCGTTCGGCCACTACCCTGTCGGCCGCCGAATGGCAGAACCAGGTGGCCGAACGCCAGTCGGCCACCAGGATCGGCCCATCATTACTCATTGTCCTTAATCCATGATTAGGGGTTAATTAACTGATTAAGGTGTACTACCTAATACGGTAAATACATTGCAGTGCCCATGGGGTCCAGGGCCCATAAATGTCAGTATAAATAGCTCAGGTCAAAAGGTAACGTCACTGTTCATTAATTATCCTAGATATTCGGGTTTGTCCTGACTTAAGCGTTGGAGTGCCTTTTGCAGGTACCAACCCCTTCACCAGTGCATTGGATCGGAGCTCTCATTCGGCCTCAGACTACGAGAAGATTACTGGTGTACCCCTTTTGCAGGTACAAAATATATATTAATAAAATTTACATGTATTATCAAGGTGGAATATCTATTCTTATGAACACATCCAAAAAAAAAAAAAAGTATACTTTAAATTTTGTAATGGAACGATGTGAGTCTTGGTTTTGAAGTTTTAAAATTCCGACCGTAAAAGAAAAGGTTTTAAAATACAAAAAAGGAAAGAAAAAAATTGCACCATGTACCGTTTACGTCCTAAGCTCATAATTTATCGTCGCGTGTCTCAAAATAGTTTAGCCAGTAGGGCGGGCACCTTGCCTTTGTTTACACTTACTTTTTTTGTTTTTAGGAAAATAGAAAACACAAACGAAAATTCTTATTAAAATTACGTTTATATTGTAAATAAAATTATTGTAAATTTGAAACCTTTTCATCCGTGACAAACTTCTTACTTGTAATTAAAAATAGAAAAATAACTAAAACTTAATTAGGAAATTTACTATTTATGATGAAAACGATAAAGGATAGATATAATTAAAAATTTGTTATTTTTTGGTTAAAATGTTTTTTTTAAGGCAAGCAATATATTTTAAAGGCTAAAAATCTAATTTGGTCCCTTCAAATATTTTAAAGTTACAATTTAGTCTCATTTTAATTTTTTGTTTCAATTTGATCCCTAATAATTTAAATTACTGCAATGTCGGACTTCTATCCAAATTTCTTAAACGGAGTTAACTGTTAGCCACGTGGATGCCACATAGATGCATAGGTGGATGCCAAATTTTTTTAATGTATCTGGAACCAGAACGCCAACCACCAACGGTCAATAATTATAGTTCACGCTCGTGATTCTAAATCACAGTTGTGAATCGTGCAAGGAAAAAAAACCTAAGGTACAAAGTATTTTAAACACTAGATTTGGTAATATTGTCAATGGGGGATTGATAACTTCAATTGCTAAACGTTTGGGCTATACACCATTTTCTGGACCAATTGTAAGATATAGGAGCTCCTAGAAGTATTAATTATAATACTTGTTATGCAATGTAGTGTATCACTAAGGACAATGCTAACATGTTTTATTTCATTATTAGTCAAATTGGAGTGAACCACTTACTACCAAATCGGCACTATACAGTTAAGGATGAAACGACATAGTGTTTCCTCTTTGAGTCATTGACCAATATACCAAAACAACAACAACCTGTTTTTGAGGAGGTACAACCTGAAGTAGAGGAAGATGACACACAGGACCAACATTTCACTACACAATACTATAATTATATGGTGGATAGGATCTATAATTGGCACCTTTAGCATTATGCTAATCATTTCCCTCCTTAGTAATTTCTTTGAACTTTCTTAGTATATGTTATGTTATGAATTTTTGTTTTCAGTCTCTGAACCATATTTCAGTATTTGAATTTATGTTATGTTATGCATTTTTGTTTTCAATCTTTGAACCACATTGCTGCATTTTGTTGAACATATGTATGTGGTTGCCCGTTCTGAAACCAGAACGGACTGTTTTAGATTCAGAATGGTCTGTTCTACTTGCACTCGTTGTGTGTTAAATAATGCATTTAGAACGGGCCGTTCCAGATGCATTAAAGAAATTTGACATCCACCTATTCATCTACGTGGCATCTACGTGACCAACAGTTAACTATGTTTAAGAAATTTGGACGGAAGTCCGACATTGCAGTAATTTAAATTATTAGGGACCAAATTAAAACAAAAAATTAAAGTGGGACTAAATTGAAACTTTAAAATATTATAAAGGACCAAATTAGGTTTTTAGCCTATTCTATAAGACATGTTATATTTGACGATCTTAACTATCCTTTTAAAATTGATCCTCATTTTTTTCAAATAAAAAAAATCTTTTTAACAGAAAAATAACAAAATTTTAATTATATCTATCCTTTATCCTTTTCACATGATATTAGTGAAAAATTGCATCTTTTTCTTATTACTTTCTTCATTTTGTGCTGATAATTTTATTTAAAATTTAGATGTTTATTATCTTTTCTTTATGCATAAACATTTTAAAATTATATATATATATATATATTTTTTTTTTTTCTTCTTTTTTTGGTAAATCCTAAATTTAGTAATGAAGTTATTTGTAATACTACTTCTAAAGATTATGAAATATATATTAACTTATCATAAGATGATTTTCATTAGATCTATGGAAGTGTTGTTTCCATAACATAGTTGAAGATGAAGAAGACATTCTTGAATTAGAAGAACAACGAAATTGATGAATGCAATAACATAATAGAACTGTTGTGCTTAGAGTTTTATGATATATAGTGCATATATAGTGCAAAAAAGTGAGACAATTAATGCATGCACGTCAGAAATCAATTGTTTTATGCAGAGTGTCATTGCTTAAGAGTGTTATTGATTAAAAGTGTCATTAATGCATGCACGTCAGGAATCTAATAACTTTATGCAGTGTGTCTATCATTGATTTAAAGTGTCATTAATGCATGCGTATTAGGAATCCAATAACTTTATGCAGTGTGTCAAGGAATCCAATAACTTCATATTTTATAATTTTAATAAATAATTTCAAATTATCTATATTTTTTAATAGAAATTAAAATTTTAATTACCTTAAAAATATTCTTTTTTTAGTCAACATATTTTAAAAAATTATTAAGATATCTATATTTATTATAAAATAAATAAATAAATAAATACATTATTTAAAATATTAAAATATCTTTATTTATTTTAAAATTAAATTATTAAACTACTTCAAAATATTATATTATCAATATTTATTAAATAAAATTGAAATATTTAAATTATAAAATATATTAATTT